TGGTTTTTGCAGGTCTTGTAATCTTTTGGAGCATGAAGCTCCCCCAGGCAGCAGTGGCCAAGCCTGGCACTGCCCACTGAAAGTAGTCCTTACAGTCATGTGTGTGCATGTGGTTTGTGCCACACTCGGACCTCCAAAACCTCCCTCAGGGGAATAACTTTGTAGGGCCATACCCACATGTTGGAAGGCAAACAGGTCTAAAAGAGCTTTCTAGTATCTCGTCTTGATAGTGACTCTTGAAACGGTTGCAGTAGGTAGAAAAGGTCAAATCATGCCATTGCTGCCATGTGCCCATGTGTTTTTATCAGAAAAGGTTGAAGCAGGTAATTACTTGGTTCCACTAAGCAGTAGGAAGTCTTCATAGCACAATTCCTGGTCGCTGCAGCACAGCTGGGGACCTTGTTCAAGCTCTGCCGCTTCAAGATCCTGGACCTTCCCCCTACCCCCCATTTACTGCTGGATTGGTGTCATGTTTAACACTAATTTCTTAAAAAGCCATGCCAGTGTCTGAATTATCTACTGGGAGGAGAAGCTCCTTCTGGTAGCCGTTTAGTGCTGCAGCACTTCATGTCATTAAGAGCCCAGTCCTGGCAGGATGCATGGCCAGCTCTGCAAGGGAGTGCAGGAACAGTCATGAGAGTATGAATGCCAGGGCCAGGCAGTTTTGCTCACACAAGATGCTTTACTACATCTGCTTTACTTCATATTTCACATCTAGCTGCTTTTCTTTTGCTTTTTGATATAGTGAGCTCTTCCAAGAGTTCTTTTGTGAGGCTGCTGTGGATGTTCAACATTTATGCCTGTGACTTCAGGGACACTAATTTCTAAGGTGTGCTTCTATAGGAAAATAGACTTACAGAAATAATATCAGCAGGTTTATTTTCTACAGGGTTTCTAGAACCTAACGTTCTGTCTCTTTCTGGCATCTGGTTATTCCATCATAGTTTAGTTGCATTAAATAGTCAACAAGAAGCAATGCAAAGGCTTGAGTTACATGTGGATAGGAATAATGAGGTGAAGTCATGGATTGCTCCCTTTCTGCACAAACAACAATTGGCAATCTTGATAACATGCTTTCAGGTAATAATTGATGTGTTTTAGATCATTTTTATATGTATAATGCAATATATTTGATTTTTAGTCTCTATGTTTCACTATGGAAGAAGCACAGGAAACGTTTAATGGACAAGTGTGCATAGGTTGCTCTCCTATCTCTTTTCTTATCAGTAAAACAAATCCACAGCTTGCTCACAGTGAAACCATATGGTAACTCTTTCTGACAAATGGATGTTGCAATACAGATAATCCCGGTTGTGCATGAGAAGAGATCTTTTGATTATTTTGTCTTAATTCTTGCATTACTCTGTTCTTCAGTGCCTGGAAATTATGTATGTGGCTATTTCTGAACCCAGAGGTTTGGATGAATTAAGAATTTATGGAGTATACTACACTTTAGTGTATTCCTTTGAGCATAGTTATTTGTCATATGAAATAAACAAATATATTAGCTATAGCTAATGGCCTTCTTCTGTGTTGGCAGACAGTAGCTGCAGATTCAGGCACTTTTTGAACCCTGAATATCCTCTTAGTGTGAAGTCAAGCTAAGAAATGTGTTTGTATAAATCAGCTCTTGCTTTATATGAAGCTGCAGAAGTAGTTGCAGGAATGTGAAGGTGTCCATCTTTTTGTACCCTGAAGGGATTTGCCCAACTGACAGCTGATGGTCATCTCAGGTCACCACAGCTGATGCCATATGCTGGCATGGTGCGCAGAGGGGAAAAGGTGTTCTGTTGATCATTTTCAATGAGTAAAATGAACAAGCTAGAGTCCTCACAACTTCTGTTTGACTTAAAAGTAAAGCTGCAAAAATATTTCCAGCCCTTGCTTGACAGGAATGTATCAGCAAGTGAGTTTTCTTCTTGAGCCTGGAAGTAGTAGCCAGTATCTGGAAGCATAAGTGGAGCATGAGCCTGGGAGTGGAGAACAACAGTGAGGAGTAGTGGGAACTAGGCACTGGAGACCACGTATCAAGTCTAGGAACGATGCCATGAAGCTTATCAAAACTAAACAACACATTATGAATTTTCATGTTTATTATAAACAGTGAAGAAATGGTGTTAATTTGACAAGTTTTCCTCCTAGCTTTAGGTGCTGGCTGTCAGGCATGAATTTGTGGGGTCTGAGATGCAGATAGTGCAGAATATACATGAGCAATACTTGAGGTTTTTATTAAATTTTACAATTCCAGGTGATAACAGTTACTGCAAACCAAGACCTCAGCAAGATATTTCTTGGATATTTAGAAAAGAAATAGAAATCAAGATGTAAATCTGGTCAGCACAAATGTTTATTCAGTGTTTGTGTTTTACTTCAGGAGGCAATGCAGCCCCAAACATCAGCCTCAGCTGAAACCAAAAATATAAATGCATTGTATTTCAAAATACAACAGTAAAATTATTGTAGTAGATTTAGTCAGATAAACATGCCTGAAGAGTATTCAAAGGATAAGTCTATTGAAATGCATTTCAATAAAAAGCAACAAAGTAAGGACACATTTAATATTTTGACTTTAGTGGGAAGAAATTGTTTTGAAAAGTTCATAGAAGAAGAAGAAATGGTGCTTCTACTCTGGCCAGATGTAAGTACATGAAATGCAGTTAACTTTCAGCTAAGCATCTGTGTAAAGCCAGGTATAGAAGCTTTCAAACGTTTAGTTCTCTAATCAAGATGAGCCCCTGGGATTCCTGCCCCAGCTACATTTGTATGGGAATGATCCTCTGGGGATGGCATAATGCTGTTACAGCCCCACCAGGCAAGGAAATACCCATGCTTTAGTGGGATATTGGCTGTTAGAATTCTTCATAGTGCTCAAGTGAAGAAAAATATTTTAAAATCCATGGCTGAGGAATATTGCTGACAAGATCACTGACATTCAGAGGTCTTAATCACTCAGCAAGTACTGTCATGCGCAGGGGCAGGGCAAGGAAGGGTCAAGAGCACCTGAACCAGCAACAGCTGCACACATTACTCAGGATAGTCAATGCTGAATTAAGTGAAATATGTCCTGAAAGAGAGGATCTGGTGCCAAATGATCTATTCTTTGAAGAGCAAAGGCTGAATAATGAGTCCAGGTAAACCAGCAAGTCTACTGAAAGTGTCTCATGAGGGTTGCTACGGTGGCTAAGCAGATGCACTTTGAATCAAATTTGGCTCTGAATTACTTTCTGAATCTTATGCAGCTAGAAGTGTCACTGACATGAACTCTGTTACGGTATCTAAAAATAGCCGTGAAAGTATAAAATGCAAAAAGGTAGGTATTTTGCAGCTTTTGCAGTGATTTGTCATGGCAGGTCTCTGAGTGATCAAGGTAAAAAGAAAGCTCAGTTGGGAGCGAGGAGGAAGGTTGTCCAGTATGGGATGTTGGAGGGAAAGACAAGACATGAAGGAAAATGACCCTCTAGAAAATATTTGCTCTTTTTGAGGCAAATTGCTGCTATAGTAAGAGACTGAAAGGAAGGTCAAAACAAACAGAAATAATCTACATGGAGTTAAAACAGGCATGTTTTTAAAAGCTAGTCTTCAGTATATATTTACTTAGTAGATTAGACCAGTAATTGTCACTGTGGCTTTTGTTTGGTCTTTTGCTGAGATTTCTTTGGGTTTGTTTTCCAGCAGGCTGAGGTTTTTAAGAGCGTAAATAGAAGATAGGTAGTAAGCCTGTCTGCTGTGGTCTGATCGCAGGATCTTAACATTAATTAATGACCAGGAGCAGCTTTAGTAGTAAAAATAAAATAGATTTGCTATAAACATGTAATTCTGTCAAGATATTCTCAAGGAGACTATTAAACTCTACGTTTCTCTTTGCTTGTAAGTGTGGGAAGCATATTTTCCTGCTCTTAATCTGTTTTTGTGTCGCCATAGTGCTCACAACTCTGGTGTTGCAATTGCAACGGAGTTGACTCTGAGTCTGTTGAAATTGTTTGGAAATCCAGATAGGGAACTTGGGCTCTGATGCAGAAGTAGTGATGGTATTTAGTAAATGTTAAACAAAAATAATTACATAAAACACTTTCTAGATTCTGTCAGTACCCATGTAAAAAACCAGAAGATGTATTTATTGTTACTATCTTTGAAGTATCTCTGGATATTATATGTTGTCTTAATGACCGACCATCAAAACTTATGTTTAAAATGAGTGTGAAACAGGGAACATTGTAACAATAAAACTTATTATATAAAGTCAGTTGCTGACATTAGTTGGCTGAGAGAACAGTTTCACGACTCAACAAACAGCTGTAAGAACAACAAAGAAATAAAGAGAAGCTGAATGAACAAAAATGTACTAAAAATTAATTATATAGTATAAAGCAGAGTTTGTCACTTGAAAATGGAGATAAGTTGGATGTAGTGCTGCATGTTTGTCTCACTGCCCTCTCCCTGTGGCTTTTGAACCCAGTGGCTGGTCCATTTCAACCGTGACTAACTGAGGTGCTCTTGAAAGATAGGTAGGATCATGAAAAGATGCTACCCAGTAGACTGAAATGCTGAAATATGTGATCAATCCATTAGATCTTGGGAAGTTTGCCTGGGGGAAGATGTATTAGGTGTACTCCCACCTTGGATGATGCCAGCCTGCATACTTCATGTGGAGTCCAACGAGACAAGGAATCCATAGGAGACCATGCCACTCACAGAATGACTTGGTTTGTTTGGGTCTTTTTAAATGTTTAATATGTGCTGGCCTAAGCAGATAATATTGCAACACAATATTATGCCCACTTTGCACCAGAGGTCAAGGCAGTGGAGCTGTCGAATGGCACCGAAGGGGTTTGGCTTTGGGCTGGTACTTGGCAGACCAGTCAGTATTGCTCACCCCGATGTCTGGTACTTGTTTTGACCATTAACTTGGACTGATTTACAATCTGATTACAATAAAACTCAACCAGACCTTTGCTTTTGGCTCTGATACCACATTGTCTTGCATTGGATTTGTTCTGCAGGGCAGTGCAGCCGTGTCTTCCCTCCCCAGCTCGGCACACTGCGGATCATTCACGGCAACGGCACGGCTCTGGGGACGGTGATAACGTTCCAGTGCTCTGCCGAGCACCAGCTGGAGGGACCAGCTGTCATCACCTGCATCTGGAAAGAGAACAGTACCCAGTGGACAGCTGGAGTACCCTCCTGCAAGCGTAAGGTTCTTTCCAAACCATTCCCAGTCTCTTTAGGCTGGATTGTGTTTCTTTTTCCTGCCTATCTCTTACAACATTAGGATTAATTCTAGACATCTGTGCAAGGAAAAACACAATGTCATTTTCCGTCAGTGTTGCCCCTGCTGGCCGTAATTGAGCTTCATATGTGTTCTGACATCATTCATTATCATGACACAAAAAAGACTCTGTTGGATTTGTGCCTGATCTCATGTCATTGACTCTGGTAGTGTTGCATTCAGAAGAACTGTGGTTCCAGCTACAAGCTGTACCCTTCTTTAGAAAATGTATAGATAGCAGCACCAACTAATATATTTGCAAACCCTCTAATCTCCTGGCATTCTTTTCTGAGGTTATTTTTGCTGTAAAAGAAACACCATGATATTTTTTTTAAAATTCTAGGTGTAGCCACATGGGAAAGTTACGGCGTTGACAAATTACATTTCAATGGCAACAACATTCATGACCTTTCAAGCTATGTTTCTTCTTATTTATTATAACATTGTTAGAAATCTGACTATAAGTAGGCCCCAGCAAAGTGTGGTACCTCTGAGTTTTGAGAATCTCAGTCTATGTCTCAGACCTTGTATAATCTTAAGTCTCTGATAGATGGATAGCTCTTTTAGACACTTACCACTCTCTCACAAACTCGGCTATTTCTTGAGAGGTTCCATTAAAGAAAAATGAGAGAAATCATAGAATACTTTAGATTGGAAGAGACCTTTAAGATCATCAGGTCCAACCATTAAGCTAACACTACTAAGTCCTCTGCTAAAACAGATCAGATTCTGTCAGGGTTGGAAGGGACCACAAGGATCACCCAGTTCCAACCCCTCTGCCATGAGCAAGGACACCTCACACTAGATCAGGCTGTCTAGAGCCTCATCCAGCCTGGCCTTAAAGACCCCCAGGGATGGGGCCTCAACCACCTCCCTTGGCAACCCATTCCAGGGGCTTTCCACTCTCATGGTAAAGAACTTCTTCCTCACATCCACCCTGAATCTGCCCACTTCCAGCTTTGCCCCATTCCCCTTAGTCCTGTCATTACCCGATATCCTAAAAAATCCCTCCCCAGCTTTCTTGTAGGCCCCCCTAAGATACTGGAAGGCCACAATAAGGTCCCCTCAGAGCCTTCTCTTCTCCAGACTGAACAGCCCCAACTCTCTGTCTGTCCTCGTAGGAGAGCTGCTCCAGCCCTCGGATCAGTCTGGTGGCCCTTCTCTGGACACGCTCCAGCAGGTCCACGTCCCTCTTATAATGGGGGCTCCAGAACTGGATGCAGTGCTCCAGGTGGGGTCTCAACAGAGCAGAGTATACAGAGCTTTGTGTGGAGCTCAGACAAACCATTTGTGATGCTGGTCATCATGGTGTCAGAAGAACTAGATGAGTTTTGAGAGTGAGACATGCTTAGTGCTCCAGATGAGTTGGCAGAGATCTTTATTACTTGTGCCACACCATGTTCCCACTCCTCCTTTGGTCTGGACAATTTATTTTCAGCACTGGATCACTCTGAACACTCAGACCTGCATATACAGTCTCTTCTTCCATCCCACATTCTTCCCCAGACAGGAAGTCCTTTTGTTCACTGCCTGACAAATAGGATATGATTACATGAAAATGCTCTTGTTCTAAAGGGCCTCTTTAAACCATATATCCCTGTCACTGTTTGGTTTTGCACCTTCAGTCCTTATTAACAAATGCTTATAAGAGCCTGCTAGCTCATCTGCATTTGATATGCCCACAGTTGTACTTTTTAGCTACTGCAGCGCTAAAGGCATTGTGTTGAAATGCAGTGGTGAAATAATTGTGAACAATTCATTGGTAGCTTATAAAGAGGAGGTTTATATATAGCTCTAAGCTGAAGCCAAGATACTCCAGTATTTTGATACATACTAACGTGAAAGTCCTCATTTTATTAGCAGAAGGATGAAGCAGGTAGGTTTCAGCATGGCTTAGTGAAAATGTGAAAGATAATTCACGGGTTCATCTTAGAAACATGCTTCTGTGTTTTCTTTGCTGCAGCTATATCAAAATATGAGACTTTTGGGTTTAAGATCGCAGTGATTGCCTCCATCGTGAGCTGTGCCATCATTCTGCTGATGTCCATGGCTTTTTTAACTTGTTGTCTTATCAAGTGTGTGAAGAAAAGTGAAAGGAGAAGGACTCAAAGGTAGGTTGTGAAAAGATGTTTAAAACTGGCATAAGACTGTGCAGCATATGGACAATAGCTTCTGCAATAGCTTCAAAAGACTTGATGCTCACATCGCAGTGAGGTTAATTACTTAAAATCCTTAATTTGTAAGTCAGGCTTTAGGCACAGAAAGACTTGAAATTCAAGAGTATTTAGGCACCTAATGTCTGTTAATACCAGCTGACCTCAGCAGGCCTGGGCAGATCTGGATTTACCCAGGATTATACAGAAGCTGAGTCTTATTTGCTAGGCCAGTCTTTCTCTCCTTGAATTACTTAAGATTGGCTGTATTTTTCTTTTTCTTCTCTCTCTTTCCTTTTTTCCTTGAACATTGCTGGGAAGATTAATCTATCCGTGTTGAAACCATCAAAGCCCCCACCATCTGCAAAGCATGCTTAAAGCTGTCACAGCGCTGTGCTGGAAGGATGTAGGATTTTTGTCTTCTGTCTTGAAGTACCAGTCAGTGGGCAGGATTATAAACAGGCATGGGAAGAAGGAAAATTTACAAATCCAGCCCACTATAAAAATTCATTGCAAAGGGTGGCTGCATGACCACATCTTGTTGTATGCTAAAACCGACTCACTGTTGTTCCTGAGAGCATCCATCCAAAGTCACCAGCTGCAGAAGGCTTTCCATGGGCATCTCTTTTTTGTCTCCCTCCTGTTTTTCCTGCTAGTTGTTCCCACTGCTGCATGTGGCTTAGTGGGGTGGCTGCACCCTGTCCCTCTGATGCCTGCTGTGAAGACACTAAGCTGCATTTCTCATTGATTTTAAGCCTCTTCTTGCTTTAGAGGAGTGTTTGGAGTGCAGCAGGGTAACAGTGGAGTAGAGACAGACTAGGGAGGACATGAGTGAAGGTCTCTCTGCTCCAAGCTGTGTTTTATCTAGAGCTGTGTGGGAACCAGCTTACGGAAGAAATTCTGTCATTTCAAAATCTGATTGTAACTAAAATACAGATTTCTTATTTCCCTTGAAAGGATTTTGTGAGGTGAAAAATCAAGTCCTGGGTGTCATTCATAGTTTCATGTTTTTACTGATAACAGGAAACAAATTTTGAAATGAAAGGGTTGGTTGGCATTTTTGGCGTTGTCACTTTTCTTTTTGATAAGACTATTAATATCAAAGTCCTTGTTCTTAATTTACTTTAAATGAAGTTTTGTCAAACTTAGCCATTCACATGACTTTGACTTTCTCTTTTTCTCTTACAAAAGAAAAGCCCTTCACACCACATGTTTTGACCTGGTTCTGCCATCAGGACATAAAATGATTCCCTTTGCTGGGAGCTTCTCAATTCCCTGCTGCCTTCTCTCTTCCCTTCACTGCCTCCTGAAGGAGGCACTTCAACCTGGCCCATCCACAACTGAGCCACACCCCTGGGGGCTGACCCTGGGGGCACTGTAGACATTGTGTGGCCTCACCCAACTGTCAGAAAGCAACTGAGATGACATAGAAACTGTCCATGTCACACAAGACAGAGTAACCTATCTCTGTATAAAACTTGCCTAACTTGCAACCCATGCTGCAGAGTGCCAGGTGTGGTAGTAGCATGTCTTTTGTTGATGTAGTTGGAAAATGTGGATCAAACTTTGGATGCACAAAGCACTAATCTGAAGAGAAGCTGCAGGCTTGATGCCTTAATACCAAATGAGAATACTTGATAGGAGTTTAGTAAAATAAGTGTCTTTTAGACCATCTCTTAAAGGAAAAGTAGGCTGCACCTGTGGAGTATGGTGTACTTGTGGAGTGGGGAAGATGCCCACATCTTGCCTTAAGCTTTGAAGTCTACCCTACCTTTTTTTTTTTTTTGGCTTTTCTAGTTGGTCTACTAGAAGAGATCACTTCTGACTACAAAGCTGTCTTGCAAGGTCTGATGACCTTTGAACTGCTGTATTGTGTTTTATCCCTGCATTTGAAGGGAAAAAGGACAAAGGCTGCTGAAAATCCTCACACAATTTAGCCTCCTCACAGACCTTGTCCCACTGTGTGAACATAGTTTTCTTTGGTAGGAGCAGTATTACATCCTCAGAGGGCAGAAATTACACCAAATCAGCATCGCCAGCCCTCACAGTTTAATCTCGTCCCATGAGCCAGTGTGAATGTCTGTGATTATGTGAATCTTAGACTTCTAAAAACAAAGGGGAAAAAAAGGTGTGTTTTTTTTTTCTTATTCTTTTTCTTTGCCTCAGAGTTGTGGAGGAAAGCATGAAAAGGACTTTGAGCATTTCCAGAAGGAAATCCCGAAGGCAACCAAATAAGCCCTGCTCTTAAAGGCAACATTACCTGTCTCCTCCATTTTTAAGTCAATTCATCTTTTCAACCTGCCTGTTGATTTTTGAACCCATAGGAGTGGCAGTGCTTGCAAAAAATTCATGGTTTTGTTGTTGTGTGGTGGATTTTTTGTTTGTTTGTTTTGGTTTGTTTTGGTTTTGTTTGTTTGTTTTTTCCTGAAATAATTTGTACATGAAAAGATTACAGACTAACAAGATCTGGCCTGATGTGTGTCACTGATGAAAGTCCATGAGAACATTAACAGAACATCATGTCTTAAGTGACTTTCCCTCTTAAATACCCAGAGATATTTAACCCTCTGGACATTTGGCTTACACTTGAAGTTTAGCATATATTAAGTGCTGTCTGCAGTAAACCTGGACTTAGATTTAAACTCTAGTGAGTCAGGGCTGTAGTCAGATAAAAGCTCAGATACAAAGACATTTATCACAGTAAAGTATTTTACCCCTTGCTTTATTCACAGAGATATGCAGCTGTGGTATCAGCTCAGAGCTGAAGAACTAGAGCACATGCAAGCTGCTTACTTGGGTTTTAAGGGAAGAAACAATAACAACAACAATAAGAAACTCAGGAATAAATCTGTATTTGATAATGTGAATAATATGGCATATGACAACCAAGGCTTCTGCAGGTAAGGCTATTAAAATATAGTGGGTTTGAATGAGTTTGTTGAACAGGTTTTAGAAAGAGGATACATTTTAAAGGGATGCCCCTGAAAAGGAAGCCATGCCAACAGATTGTTGGGGCTAGTTCTTGAATTTGGCCGTCTTGTGGGCAATTAACATTGGCAGAAGGTGAGACAGCAGAGAAGCTGAGCATGACCTACCTCCTTACAGCTTCTCTAATCTATCCCCAGTAGTGCTTGGTTAAGCCTGGTCTGCAGGGACGGTTGCACCAGATTAAGTGGAGAGATGTTTTTAATTGGCTTTGTAAACTGATGCTAAACTGCAGCAAGAAAGTTCCTGCTTTCTGTTGAGTGGTGCTATCAAGGTGCTCGTGTGCCTAAGAGCCTTAGGAGAGGAGGCAACCTGGGACTCAAGGTGAGCACTGAGTATTACTGTTCATCGCTTGGTGACCACAGGAGCTCACTTGAAAATACCATTTGGTCATCAGGGTGTGCAGGGCAAACACAACGGGATCCTCATCTGCAAGACAGTGTGAATGCCCGTGGTGAGGGAACCCTGACCCCTCACCAAATTTATTGGGTAGTCCAAAGAAATGTCCACGCTGAAATAAAGTGCATCACTTTGTTTGATACTCGTGGATGGTAGCAGATGGTAGCATAGGTATTTTCTGTGTCAGTTCAAGATCACCTCTGACAGTGTCCAGATGTGTTACGCTAGCTGTGTTGTTGCCAACAAAAAAAAAACAAAAACAAAAACAAAAACAAAAACCAGAAAAGGGAACACATGTTAAATTCTAAATGCTGTTTTGCTATTACCATTCATATAAACACGTGTCATTGTGTCTTTTATATCCTTTGGAAACTGCTTTGTCGTTATGTATAACAATATATAGCACAATCCTTATTTGCTTTTAATTCACGGCTCACTTGTGCAGCTTTTACATATAGCAGTACCTGTGATTTGTAGTGGTTACCTGCAGAAAACAATTTTATGCACATTGTAAACCTACTTCCAGATGGAATTATATTCAAATGGAGCACTTCCATGAAAGTCTGACTGCTGCTTAATCAATGCCTAGCTTTGGGTGATTTCAGAAAAATTTATAAACCTAATTAAATTATGATTATAAGCTAAGCAGGTTTTGCAAGACTCAGGATGCAATTTTTAATTCCGGGCAACTTTGATCAAAACATGCTAATGTTTTGTATAAGTGTAATCTGCTTTTCAGATAACATGGATAAAGTTATAAAGGGCTGTACACAAAGGCTAATGCTGTGCTGGGGGCTCAAGCTCCTTCTGGGTACATTTGCACCACTCCATGGAGCACAAGCTGCTGTATTATGCTTACCAAATACTGTACACCTTTTCTTAACTGAAAGTAGCAGTGAATATAAAATTCCTTTGGATAAGCAGCTTTTCTGGGACCAGAAATCAACAAGTTTATTATTTCTTTAGAAAACTGGAGAATGTGTAAACTTCAGTGGGGAAGTACACCGGGCAGGAGGAGCCTGTCAGGTCTTTTTTTTTTTTTCCTACTTAGAACAATAAACATGTTGTGTTAAATAGTGGTGCTCTTACCCATCTCCTGATACATAAGGTCCACTCTTAATCAAAGTCTGTTGTCTCCACTATGCAGAGGTGATGTGATCCTAGCTAATAATTAGCCATCAGCTAGGAGAGCAGGTGTATTACTCTGCACCCCAGATCCCAAAGTCTAGCCATTTCACACGTGGAGATTAGGGATGGAAAGGGCATTGAAACTGTGATAGACTGTGAATATAACTGTCTTGGAATTGCTGTTGGAACAGGTCTGACCCTTCATCAGTTTGTATCTTGTTCCTTTTCTTAACTCAAATAAGATCTATTTAATCATGGTTAGTAGAAGATGCTAATTACTACTGTTTAATTCTGTTAAATGGATATATGAGCAGGATGAGATGTAGAAATTCTGCTAACATATTTTATGCTAGCTCTTGAAGACAACAAATGATCTGTCAGCTTTGTGTTTCACTTGCAAGACTTATTTTTTGTGTGTCACAAATTAGGCTGTTCCATCATCCTGTGCCCAAGCAGCTTATTGGGAACAGCAGCACAGGGAAGGCAAATCCCTGGGGAGTGCAAACATGAGGCTCATGATGGGAAGACCAGTGTGAAAGCACATGTTCACAACCTTGGTTATTTCTCCAGTACCTTTCTCTGTTTAACTTGAAGTGGACGTGTTGGCAGCCTGTGCTTGGAGGAAGTCTCTTGTGGGTGTTGCTGCAGTGATGGAGCTGTTATAGCTTTGATTGAGGAAATAAATAAAGGCATGTGGTGTGGTTGGAAAAGAGCAGCAAAACTGAGAGCAGGCAAGCCCAGAGGAAAGATTCTGCATATTGCTGCATGCACGTGAACCAAAGCGTGTGTCCATGGTCATGAAAAAGCCAAAAGATAATATAACTGAAGCTCCTCAAGGAGGGTTCAGACTTGACATTAGGAAACATTTCTTCACCAAGAGGGTGGTCAAACCCTCGAACAGGCTTCCTGGAGAGGTGGTCGATGCCCCAAGACTGTCAGTGTTCAAGAGGCATTTGTTCAAGAGGTCAGTGCCTGAAGTGGTCAGGCAGTTGGACTAGGTGATCATTGCAGGTCCCTTCCAAATGAAATTATCCTATCCTATTCTGTCTTATTCTATTCTGTCCTATTCTGTTCTTGTGTTAACGTTTCAGACATTTGGAGGAACTTGTGCCATGCATCACTAGACCTCTGAGCAAATTAGAAATCCTACTTTGTTTTTCTGAAAAGGGCAAGTCCTGAGCACAGGAGGGTAATCGTTTTCTCCCTGCATTTCTCAGGGCTGTGGCACACGTTGTTCTCTGCGATACAGACATGGGAAGTGGGTACAAATAGAACAAGAAGGCTGAGAAATGAGTGGTGCCCTTGTCTGAGAAAGGAGTGGGCGGAGGCATGGTAATCTAAGTTAGTTTTATGACACCATTTCCTTTTCTTAAAGAAAACTGTTCTGCTGTTTCTTCATGTTACATATGAAGGATCTGGAAAAGTAAGAACTCCTCCACCCTTGAAGAAGACCCTTTTGAGTATATCTTAGCCCAGTTTTGACTAGAAAAGGATGTAGGTTATGCTGCTTTTCAGAATTAACTGAAATAGATTTAGAGATTAACTAGAGATTAACACTTTGATCCACCACTTTAAGGATCAAAAATACTGTAAGAACAAATAAAAATCCAATTCTTTCAGATGGGTAAGATAATTGTTATGGTTTATAGAGTAATTCAGGATTACAAAACTGTCATCTGTTGAAGCGGTGCCTTAGTATGCCAGTGAGATAATTTTGGCTGTACCGAGGTGACATAATGTGGATGCATAATGCTAATAACCTAGAAGTTATAAAAAATGTAGAAGTCCAGCTGTTGGACAGTAGAGACTCCAGTGTGCTGTTCTGGACCTGTCTGCCACAAAATGAGATCCTTTTCCCCTCCTGGTTGAAGCATGGAACAAATGTGATGAATATATAGTTTTGCAGAGATATGTTTAATTTTAGTGGCAACTCCTCTAATTATAATGAACCCCAGTCAAGCCTCTTGGCTGCTTGAACTACTTGCTTTAAAATGCTGAGAAATATGTCTACAAATACCTGGGATCATTAACTCCACAATGCAGCCACTGTTGATGCCACCTCTTTCATTTGGATGCAAGGAATCCTCATGAGGATAAAAATACTAATTTTTAGCAGAAAGTCTTACATGCAGGAGCTGCAAGCAGTACAGCATGTTTGCTCTTCTGTAGTATTTGAGGAGTTAACTAATGTTGAGCAGGGAAAGATAAGTTACAAGGCAAGGGACTGCTGGGAGGGACATGATTACCCCCACGTTGCTTCTCAGAAGTTCAGAGCATGGAGCAGAGATAGCAGGTTGCTGCGATGCAGAGGTTTTAGACAGATTAGCCAAAGAAAAGCATTTGCCACCTATGAAAGGGAGATTAGCTGCAGCTCTGGGCCATGTAGTTACAGGATAACAAGGTACATGAACCCCCAAAACAGTCCCCTGAGAGGATTGCTAGGCAGAGGCAGGGCTTGTCAACACGGCGGTATGTTAGGAATAGCTCTCAAAGCCTGACTGCAGTATGTATCAGCAGACAAAACTAAAATCAGTAAATTATATTCTGCTCTCTATAACATTTTAAGATTTGAAAGTGTTCTCAATTCTGCATGAGAATGAAACCAGGCCTGTTGACATCGTTCATCCAAAGTGAGAGACCTTCCACAAAGGAGCAGAGAGCACCAAGCCTGCTTTGGGTTAGACAGGCACTGTGGATCTGGCTGAGGAGAGCCCTGAGCACCAGGGACATTGGGTATCACAGAGGAACTAGCATTTGAAATTCTGTGCTAAGTTTATGAGTTCTTTTTTGAAATAGGTATGTTTCTGAGCAGGGTATGTTAGTTTTGAGTCAGTCCATGTCACTGACAAAGAATAATACCTGACCCTGCGGTCATCCTTCTCTGTAATAATTCCTTGGGCAACCACCGCCTGAGATAAACAGTCCTCTTCCATCCCTAGCAGAGAGCCACATGGGAGAGCCTGGGCTTCGCTGCCTAAGCGGGCAGGTTGTCCTCTGCCCTGTGACAGTCACAGGGTAAAATATAAGTAGAGAGGCTTAATGACTGCTGAACTTTGTACCAGTTACTGGTAATGTTTGAGAGATGGGAGATTAATACCGTCTCTTACTGATATTTAAGAAACTGGTGTCAAAAAGAAGAGTGGGGTCACCCTATCACAAGCGTGAGCTCATGGCTGCAGTGGGTCAGCTGGTTCCTTGGGTGAATGGTTGGTACAGGTGGGTTGAGGCCAGTTTGGCCTTGGGATCCCCTGCCTGGAGTAAGGAGAGATACTCCGTCAGCTTGCTTGTGACTCCCAGACTGAAATAGTATCCTCCTCTTTTTTCCTAGCCATGCCTGTAGGAGAAATCCTAAAAATATGCACAGTCTAGAGTAACCATTGTGAGAGCA